AGACAGAGCCTCAAGCTATCCCCCTGGGTAGAGTGCTGTGGCATCACAGCTCACAGCAACCTCCAACTCCTGGGCTCAAGCGAGTCTCCTGCCTCCGTCTTCCAAATAGCTAGGACTACAGGCACTGGCCACAACGCCTGGCGATTTTTTGGTTACAGCCATCACTGTTGTTTGGCAGGCCCAGGCCGGATTCGAACTCGCCAGCTCAGGTGTATGTGGCTGGTGCCTTAGCCACCTGAGCCACAGGCACCAAGCCTTTTCATTGTTGTTTAGTTGGCCCAGGCCAGGTTCGAACCTGCCAGCCTAGGTATATGTGGCCAACGCTGTAACCACTATGCTATGGGTACCAAGCCACACTCTGCAACTTCTGTACCTTCTGAACCATGGATAGATGTTACCTCATCTAACGCCTAATCATTTAAAAGACAACCAAAACCCTTAGCCAAATACCACACTATTCTCAAACACACTGTCAAAGTTGTCCCACAACACCCCTTACCTACTGCAATGGGAATGAAGCCCCCATGTCCTGGACAATCCCCCACCCTGTGTCACTGCAGAGAACTTGCCTTTAAGACAGGGGACCTGCTATCCAGGCAAAGTGGGAAAACCAAGGTCTCAGTGCTGGCCCAGGGATAGGTGGAGGACCAGTGACAGATGTCCACATGGTTTGGCTGTCACTGTGATGACATCCAGGAAACCGAGCAGGCTATGGATGCTGTTGCCTACTGGAACCTCAGTGCCACCCTGCACTTGGGAGGGCACAGCAGGCATTGTCAGCCCAGGTGCACCCTAGGCCTGGTGGGAGGCTTGGCCCCTAGCCCAGACCACAAGGCTAACAAGCCTGTCTCTACCTTGCTGCTGATAAGGTGGCAACTCAGACAAGGAGGCTGAGGACCAGCTGGAGGTACAGAATCAGAGGTACCATATGCTCAAAAGCAGAGGAGAAAAAAAGCACAAGTGAAGTAACCCAGTCCAACCTAGCTACAGCTACTCAATCCCAGCTCGGCCTTACGGAGTGAAATCTCACAAAACCTCAGTTAGTTTGCAGAGGCCAAAATTCAGTTATTAGCAGTATAAATTACAGAAGTTTAATACTATTTTCCAAGAAAAAAAATGAGAAAAAACCCATGTCATTCTGGAGATCTAATTTAGGAACTTCCTCTCAGCTTGACTCAGGAAACTCTCTTGGAAGTTGTGCAAATTGAGCAACAGTCACCCTCCCCGGGCTTGGCCATTTAGCACAAAGGCTAGAGTGATGCTGGGTCCAGGCCTTCTGGGAGGCTCCTCACAAACTGGCTGGAGTCTATGGGGAGCAGAGGTAGGACCATATTCCCCAGGGGCCACTGGAAAGGCCCTTTCCTTTGCAACAATCCCACTAAGTCTGGCCATAGACTAAGTCACAAACTCAAACTCACAGAAAACACCTTTGTTCTAGGAACCCAGGACACTGCAGGAGCTATCTTGGGATCAATGCCCACTCCCAGGAGCCTTTCAGGTCAGGAGACCATCACGAGAAATTCAGGATTCAACATGTATTTGTTCAGACAAATGGGAAGCAATGGGACATACAGGTCCCAAACTGGTAGGACAAATAAACCGAAAGCAACACCACCAAGGAGGCCTTGGCAGGCCTGATCCAGCAGCCACACGCAGCATCACAATTCAAAGGGTATTATTATTTTTTTTTTTTGCAGTTTTGGCCGGGGTGGGGCTTGAACTTGCTACCCCCAAGATATGGGGCTGGTGCCCTATTCCTTGAACCACAGGCGCTGCCCCACAAAGGGTATATTTTAACTGAGGCAGGAAAAAATATTTAGCTCCTAGGTGAATCGGTACCTAAATTTTTTTCTTACGATTAAAATTTATAATCAGAAACTTGAAAATACTCCGAGGGTTCAATTGATCATGGCAGATCAATACAATAATTTACTTTTTTTTTTTTTAAGAGACAAAAATCTTACTTTATCGCCCTGGGTAGAGTGCATGGTGTCACAGCTCACAGCAACCTCCAACTCCTGGGCTTAGGCAATTCTCTTGCCTCTTGCCTGCAGCTATTTTTTTGCTGCAGTTTGGCCAGGGCTAGGTTCAAACCCGCCACCCTTGGTATATGAAGCTAATGTCCTACCAACTGAGCCACAGGTGCTGCCCAATACAACAATTTACTACCAAACTGTTTTTTTTTTTTTTTTTTGAGACAGT